TTTAATATGGCAATGCTTTAAATTTCTACTGACGGACCATTCACAATTATGGCCACCATTCACAATAGAGGCACAGCTGTTGCCAGTTATCGACCAAAAATCAGTTGTTCATTTATCGATAACTGTTACGACACCGAGTTTTGGCACACCAAACGAAAAAACCAAGAAATTATTGTTTCTTCCTGGGATTCTGGCATAGATTTCTCCAACAACGATGATCAGCAGCAGGCTACAACCTTTGTGCAAACCACTTTTGCAACACTTGGTGCGTAATGCCGTGAAGGGTATGGCTCCAACCACAGTTCGTCAGAGCCATGTAGTCTCATATCGTGTTGCTCCACCACCACACTCGAAGGCTACTCGCATCGGTGCTGAAATGGTCGGCGCCGCTATGTGGTGGTGGGTCTTGTGGCATTTGTATCATGAACACGAACATGTCACCGGTGAATTCCCCTATCCCGATCCATCCCAGTGGACAAACAAGGAACTCGGCATCCCATCAAACTAAAGTCAGGAGTGGTGGAGATCGGCGAACATGTGTTAGTTAAATATATTGAAATTATCCTGGAAAGCAAGATTCTGTGGGAAGTTAAATAATTTAATAAATTGTGTAATGTAAATAAAAATGTGTTGTTTGTTTTTTCCTCGGCCAATGTGTTGATGATGTGGGTGAAAATATGTTGTGGAATTCACCCTTATGTACAATAGAGATGGGGGCAGTTCACATACCACGCATGGACTGGTTTCTGGCGTATGGAAAACTAAAGATGATGAGCATACTACTACCCATCTGATCGGCTTAGAAGTTTGACTGCATCCGCCTGTCAACAGAAAAATTAAAAAATTGACTGTTTTAATTAAAGTTTTTGTACCATTCTAAGGGCCGCTTCTATTTTGTTGGATTTTGAAAAGAGTATTCCACTCTGAGCTGCTTTGTGTTCTGATTGAATTTCTTAAAAACTTTGACCCAAAGGAAGGATTGCTACAGTCATATATATCGCACCGATACACCAGATATATTATTGAGAAGGAATATTGAGAAAATTGGTCTCTAATGGCCATAAATGAACCAAAATGGATACTTTAAAAAGAAGGACCGTCATATTATTACAGATGGTACATATCAATTGGATTGGCCAAAATGTGTTTTATCGAAAAAATGGGACCCCCAGGTCAGTAGACAAAATTCGTTAGAGGACATTTGGAATCGATGTAGCTATGTTTATCCGTCTTTTTGTATGTACTGCTGAAGGGTCCGATAGGTCTAGAAGGAAGTATCGAATTTTCATCATCGTAATATTTCTAACTTTGATCGAGATCGGAGATTGAAAAAATCGGCCATCTTTTCCATTTCCCACAAAAGGTCAAAATTTTAATAGAGGATAATTTAACTCATAAAAAGCAAAGAGAGGATTTAATTCAGCCTAAGGTCACATGTTAAACAACTAAAATACTCATAAAAACCTCCAATGTCAATTCTCTTCTTCTGACATCTCTTCATCGGAAGCTTAAAACTGTTTAAAAATTACATAAAATTTGAAATATATGTCCGATTTTCTGTATGAGTATTAAATCAAATTTAAAAATGGAAAATATAGGTCTGGTCAAAGGCCAAGGGTAACATCTGTCGGTAAAACCGCTTAATATATTCCAACATTTTTTTTTTTTTTTTTGTGACCGAGTACCAATAGAATATTATTTTCTCCATAAGGTTGGACCTCTGTTTTAGGGAAATTAGATTAAATAACGTCAACCCGACTTGCAAACTATGTCTATGCGGATGAAATGCGTTGGATGAATATCGGGTTTTGTATAAACTTTGTATCAACATCAGAAATGTCATAAACTAATTCTTCAAACATTTCGAAACATAAGAAATCTCTGACTTAAATCGTGTAATATTTTAAAATCTGAAATTTTTAGTTTGGAGTGGCATTGATTTATTATATCCTAGCAAATGCCCTATTACATCGTTAGCAAAAAGTTTACCTTAAAACTTTAGATTCATTCTCCAGTTCGTGTTTGGTATTTTAAGTGCTCAAAATACACAATTTGTTCAGTTTGATAACATTTTCAAAACTTCATATATCGTACTAAATTTTCAGACCTTAAAGTTTTCATATATTATTTAAGTTTTTCCTTTTTCGCAAAGAATAATAGAAAAATGTTTATCTTTTACAACAAAAAGTCTTCTATTTTTTAATTTTGAGGTTTACAGAAGAGGATGTTATTAAAACCATTGCATAATGTACCAACATCCAATTTATCTGTCCAAAACTATTTTAACGTCTCCATATATGTACTCTGGAAACCAGCAGTAACCTCAATATAAAATTTCAGTATTGCAGATCTATCCTATCACCAAAAATATCAAATTTCGTAGCATTTAGTACGCATATTCGAAATAATCTGCATCTGTCATTCCAAAGATCCCACAAGAGGTATCTGTATTTCATTTTTTCAGCTCAATTCCTTTACCCAATACCCAAATTTTGGACTAATTAATACTTTTTGTACAATTACAGTACATATTTTCAAACCCACTTCCATATCTCAATTTCAAATACCAATAGATCCCTCAATATCAAATTTGAAGATTCAATTGCATTTAGCACTTTTCGTACAAATTTAGTATTTTTCGTTGAATTATAGTACGTATTTCAAAAACAGCCTCCATATCTCAATTCCAGACAACAATAGAGACCTCAATATCAAATTTGAAGATTCCATCCCTATTCCTACACATGGTACCAAATTTAGTACCATTTAATACTTTTCGTACATATATGGGATGTATTTCCAGACCCCGCCAAACCTCAAACACCGATAGAATTATAAATATTAATATCATATCCCAAATTGTTATATGTATATCCCTTCGCCCAATATCCAATTTAGTACCACTCAGTACTTCTCGTACAATTATAGTATACATTTCCGAAACCTCCTTCATATGTTCAGGCTATACAAGAAGAACGACCTTAACACCAAATTTCAAACACTGTTTGTTACCCAACACCAGATTGTACTAAATACAGTACTATTTAGTAATTTTCGTGCACTTGTAGTGCACATATCCAAAACCACCTCCGTATCACAGACCTACCACCAAAAGGACCGCAATACAAAATTTCAGCTTCATTCGTCCATCCAAAACCAAACTGCACCGTTTAGTACAGTTCGCGCACTTGGTACACAATTCCAAAACCACATTCATATATCAAATTACTATCCAACGATGATTCTCATACGAAATTTCAAGTTTTTAGCAATAGCCCTTCACATAACCAAATTATGCCATTTTTGAAGTTTAGTACCATTTTAGAACTTTTCGTAAACTTGAAGTTGAAATTTGCAAAAACCCTATGATACATTTTTCCTGCAATCCGTCAGTGGCTATCATTCCAAATTTCTAGCTTATTCCGTTTGTCCAATATAAAGTATTAAATATTTAGTACTTTTCGTATCCCTTTAATTACGAGTTTCCAAAAACTCAGCCTTTTAACACGCCTATGCACCAAGCCTGATCCTCGTGCAATATTTAAAGATTCCAGCTTCAGCCGCTTCGTTGATTTTCAGTAAGTCAGTTATTTAACTACTCCTTATGCAGCTATGGGTAAGGCTTGTTTTAATTAAAATCAACCTTATTTTTTGTAATAGTTTTGAATGGCATTTATTTTCAAAAAGACCTACATAATGGTCCACTACACTACGACAAATGCCGATGAACCCTTGTGGACGTGTGATAGAATAGTTTAAGGGCTTTAAAATCAAATAATTTATATTTGTCTCATAATACGTTTCTAATTCTATTCTAATCAATGATGCAAACAGGATCCTATATCTTCATTATTAGGCATATTAAATGTTGACTTATTAGCGCATTTTGCCGTAGTTTAAGCGGCTCATCAGACAAATATCGTTTGAGTAGGTTATAAACAAATTTCCTTTGATTGGACAATATATGTGACTCATATGTGAAATTTCAAAAAGATAAGTCTATACTTCTTACTATCTTGTATTTTTATGCCTGTATAACGTAGTACATTTCATTGCCTAACTGTGGGCTATATTGCAATTTTCCAATTATCTTTGCAGGGGAAAGGGTCAAAAGAATACAGCCTTCGAAACGCATTTAGCGTTAGCCTGTCCAGATTAAAATGGCTTAATGAACGTCACATTTAAAATCCCGATAATAAATTACCAATATTTATTAAAAACAATGATTGATCAAAGCTATTAGCCAACAAATACTTTGTTCAACATTTTTGTGGTATATTCGCTTTTTTAAACCAAAAATCAAACAAAATTAATTTTTTGAAGATCAAAGTTCACATTCTATGCAAATTTATTTTATTTATCATACCCATTTAGAAGATTGAACAATATATAAATTTTTTGCAAAGAAGAGAAAAAAAAAAAAACAAAAGTAGGCAATAAGATAAAAACATCGACATTTTGCCAATTCAATTGAATGCATTCAACAATTAATCTGTGACGATATTTTTACAAACATACCCACATGTACATATCTTCGGTAAACAAATGTGGTGCTGTCTTCCTTCTCAACACAAAGTTGTTGTTTTTGATTGTTGAGGTATATAAATATAACAAAATATATACTATACTTACGGAGACAGAGCGGCGTAAACATCAATAAAGATTTTGCGTATTTGCGAAAAAGAGAATATAGCTGCCACACACAAACAAATGTGTTTGTAAATATGTTTCTGTCGATTGTTTGTAATTTAATTATTTGTTGCAAAACAAACCAGCCATAATCTTATTGCAAATCTGACGGCGGGGTTTTATTGTCATAACATTCCGGGCGTAATCAGATTATTTATTACTTGAATGGAGAGATGCATAACTTTATGCAATGCACAAAACAAAGTACCCACCAAATTAACATTTTTTGATTGTCGACTAAGCGAGCACCAACACCAGAATAATTTACCTTACCATCTTAATTGGTATCCAAACATAACACCTTGACCACATTCATATGTTCCGTAAAATATTTGGAAGTAGGTATTCTTTTATTTAAAGCATTGGCATTGTTTTTATAAATTGTTTTTTTTTTTTTTTTTTTGCGTAGCTGCTCTTCTTCTCCACTTTAAGTCGAGATGCTACCACAAATCTATCAATTACTTGTGTCAACTAACAAACAAACTACGGGGGTGAGAGGGGGGTCATCTACATATTATAGTATAAAATATTTTGACAGAAATAAAATGCATTATAGTCTAATTACTGGCTCTAAATCGAGTCTTTCTTCTCAAAACACGTTGTTGCGTCATCCATCCATGATGCTGCTGCTGCTACTGCATTCGAATACATTGTTATTGCTCCTTCTGGTCGGGTCTTTATTCTTGGGAGTAGCGTTGCTTGATGGAACGATACTTCTTTAGTGAATACAAAGCTTCGACTTCTTTGGCCACATAACGGCCCTGGGCTAGCAGGGCTTTGATTTTATTTGGATCAGTCTCATCTTTGTTCTTTAGGAAAGCATCGCGCACTTGCTGGCGGAATTTCTGCGGGCCATTTACGCCGGGATATTCACGTCCCAAAAATTGCAGCTGCAATGTGTCAAACATAAATAAACCACATGAAATCTCCAAAAATATGTAGGAAATTTGATTCCGTCTCATGACTCACATGACAAGGTCACGAAGCATGGACAGGTTTTTTTTTGAATAAAACAAATAGCTTGCTTGGTTGTATAAACCAACAGCATCTGCTCGGCCCTTCTACTTACATGCTTGTATAATTGTATAACTTTGGAGCGAAGCTCTGACATTACACGCTGATGTAGGGCTTAAAGGTTTTTTATTAACAATCTATTTTTAGTTCCTTTGGAAGAATATGTCGTGAATATTTTCTTAAAATTATAATTTCTCTTCTCCGCTTATTGCGTTCTTTTCGTTCTAGTTGTTGTTCTTGTACTGAATTTCAAATAGGGCTGACAAACAATCAATGGCTATATTGATGGTATCGATACTTTTGTTTTTAAAAGGGGGTATCGAGCGATAGTTTTTGCTATCGATACTATCGAACGAAATGTCAGTACTAATAGCATGTTTCCCATGGTTTTCGTACAACGTTGTCCGTTAAAATGCAAAATTATGAATTAATAGTCTAATTTAAAGTTGAAAACACTGTTGTTTTTTGTAGGTCCTTCTGTTTGCCTGTGTGTAATAGAATCTTGAAGGGAGTGTCTGATTTGGTCCAAACTTGGAACTTTATAATATTTATACCCTCAGGGATAGGCTAGATATATATCATTTAATACGCCCAAAACGTGTCTCATCGAAATAACGGTTTTAGACCCCAGGTGAATTTGAACCAAATCCGTTTAAAGTTGAAGGATTGTTTGTCCGTCCGTCTATTATCTGTCCGGCTGCTGCGTACGATGGTTCTCGTAATATTATTATCAAAGTTAGATCGAGATGGGCAATATCGGTCCGCTTTTTTTTTACAGAACAAAATTTGCCATACAGAAGAAGAAAGGATCATCCAATTTTGTGAAAACTTTGCAAATTTTAGTATTATTAGTGCAATGTCAGGTGGAAAATATCAAATTGCACACATCTCAGTATTTCTGCTAATATTTGGTACCTAACCCACAAGAGTCTCCTAATTAATCTTTTATATTTTGGGAAATAAGTCAGCTATTCTTTTCTGAGTTGGTATATCTAAATATTGCTCTCAACCAAAGATCTAATGCGTATTTGAAATTCATCGGCCCACTTCTTCTGGTACCTCCCCAAAAAAGTTTAAAATTTTAATAAGTATTCGCAAAAATTGGAATTAAATGTCAGTTTTTCTTTGAATTTTGCTCATCCCAATATTTTTATCAGTATTAGATGAAGTGGAATGCTTCGGTCTACTATATCTGCGACAGGCCAATTATATATTCAATAAAAGAATATTGGCTGTGAGTATACATACATCTGCCGGTAAAACCGATTGACACCATTTGTATTTTTTTAGAAAATTTGAAATTCTGATCCGATAGTCAGTTTTTATACCCTACAACACTATGTGTTGGGGGTATTATAAATTTGATTGGGCCAAAAATTATGTAACACCTCGAAATAAATATTGGTTTCCCTCATAAGAAAGTATATATGGATCTTCCTATCGATCCTCGACGAGCTGAGTTGATTTAGCTATGTATTTCTGTCCGTCCTATGTATGTCTGTCCGTCAGTTTGTTAATTTGTAACTGCGCTGCAGGTCGCAATTATGGCCCGACCTATACGAAATTTTGCACGGAGGTGGTGTTATGGTCAGAATAGAAGTCTTTTAGATATTACCGCATAATATTTAGGGGTTGAAATGAACCAAAAGCTGAAAAATTTCCGGATTTTGCAGTTGCTCTACAGGTCGCAATTATAGACAGATCGACGCAGAAGTTAGCATGGGGCTAGAGCGTAGGGCTGGGAAAAAGCTTTCCAATTTGGATGGTCATCGGGTAATATTTAGTGGGTGAAATAGGCGATAACATTTGTGTTAAATAAAGTCAAATTTTCCATTAAAACGAGAATATTTTTAATCCCGGCGAAATCACAAATAGACGAACAGGTAAATTCTGACCGTTACGTAGATGCCGATAGTAAATATATCGGATATATATAGCGAAATATATACAATGTGTATATACAAAGCAAAGGAATGTTAGATGGAATGCTTATATCTCAAGAATGGCTGGACCGATTTTGACAAATTTTGTCAATTCAGAATGCCCTCTTGACATAAAAGTATAAAATCTAAAAAAATCGCAAAAAAATAAGTCAAAAATGATCTTAATATAGATTTTTTTAGTATTTTGTGACATTTTTTTATTTTTTCATATTTTTTATCGCACGCGATTTTTTCAATTTGACTTATAATATTAAGGTGTAATATTTTTCCACCTTACAACACAGTTTTGGGATATTATATACAGATTGCAATTATCGTCCGATCCTCACGAAAAGGGTAGGGTTAGGCTCAGAAGGGCTAGGCCTATTGTTTTCAAAGATGTCCGCAATATATTTAGGGGTTGAAATGGACCAACAACTAAAAATGTTCCTAATTTTGCAGCCGTTATAAAGGTCATAAATAGAAACCAAAGGACACGAAATCTCCCATGAAATTAGAGTTTAGGACAGCGGGTAGTATGGACCACTACTTTTATGTGAAAAAATACCAACATTTCCATTCTACCGAAATGCTGAAAATAACTTGTAGGCGAAATCCAAAATACATAAAAGGCGAACTTCTGGCTTTTTTATGCAAATTTCGTTGACGAATATAGCCAAATATCGTAGACAAGTACATCAAATATATCAGACTAAATTTAGAGGTACAGAGGGGCCTCTTGCTTTTGGAGCTGATTGCAAAATAATTTCCTGATTACATAATTGAAATCTATCTACATGGAATTTAGCATGGGAACAAAGTTAAGGACAGGGAAGAAGTCTAGAAGTCTTTTGGATGACCATTGGTTTATATTTAACTGTAAAATGGACCACAACAAGTAACGGCACGACGGAGTGCGTAAATATTGGGCAAATGTCCCTGGTCAAAATGTTAAGGGTAAGTGCTCTATGACATAACTTCAAAAGCGACATCATTCAAAATGGATTTGGACATAAGCGGGCTTTTTACATATTGTAGTGTTTTATGGTATCACATGGTTGGCCCCGCACGACTATAGCCTTTCGATTCCAATTTTTGTTGAAAAAATCATACAATCTCTTACCTCTCTCTCCAAAAAACTTCTCCTTCCCCAAAAATTTAAATTAGACAACATTTGATTTTTAGTTTCAAACATATTTTTATTTTTAACTTATATAAATTTTGTATTTTATTTAACTACACATGTTGTTGTTTTTATTCTTTTCTGTCTGTTGGATTTTGTTCTTGTATTTTGGTTGTTGTTAAGTTTGGTTCAATTCATTACAAGATTTTTGTTACTTCTGGTTTTGGATATTTTCATTTGAAAATAAAATGTTCATCTTGCTGGTTTTTGCTGTCTATTATTCTTTCAAATCCAATTATATATCTTTTTGTTTTGTTTTTTTTTGTATTTCAGAAATATGAATAATATTTATTTATATATACGGTTTTGTTTATAACATTTAACAGTTTTGCTTCGTTCATCTCTTTCGTGCCATATTTTCGTCGATAGCATTTTTTTTGTTTCTTTCTTTCAATTCATAATACATAATAATATCAATGAGAATAAGAGGGAGGAGGAAGGAGAAGGTAATTGGGTTTAATATATTATTTTTAAAGATTTCTTTTTTTTGTTTAAAATTATTTTGTTTTAATTCAATTTTTTGTCTATACCTTAAAAATAAATATGTATATATAAATATATATTTTTTGGTAATTTATACAGAAAACAACAATAAAAAACATATTGTGGGCTATTTTTAGTGTTTTTGTTGTTCAATGTTCCACTCACAACTAGGAATAAAAATTATCTTACAAAAGTTGGAAAATTTGTTTCTAAACATGTGTGAATCTAAAATTTGGAATGAAGGACGATGCTAGGATAGTTGAGATCATTTCTAAAAATGGAGAAAATATTTTATGAAAATGAGATCACTGGTTTCTGGTTTCCATATTTCTAGGAACATGGTTTGAAAAACACCAAAGACTTGCAGCTTGATGAGATCTGTGAATTCCTTGAAAGTTGTAAAATAATTCAACTACATAATCATTTGTAAAAACACCGTTCTTTAGGAGTCAGATCACATTGTTTGTTATTTGAATCTTTATCATGGTAAAATACCAAGTCTTTCGAATAAAGAAAATTAGGGGGTTTGAAACTCCAAGTCATTGCGGCCCGATAAATAAGCCGATTTTTTCTTCATTACAAAATCTTGTCCATTTCAGTCAATGCCCAAAATACTTGCCATGAAGTTCCGACAATATTGACAAGCGTCAAGTTTGGTTAAAACAATGTTTAAATAAAAATATTTTTTTCTAAATTTCAATTCTTTTAAAGAATCTGTGTCCTTAAGACCCTATAGAACCCTTGAGTATAGGATGAAACATATGTATGTATATGTGGTGCAATATTCTGGTTTTTCTTATTTTAGGATATCCTTTAACTATGCTGATTGATTGGCTTTTGCGTCTGTTTTTTTTTTTTTTTTTTGTAGTTCATACTATGTGGTGCCGATGATTATGTATAAATGAATTATTATTTGTTTCCATATTTTTTCATGTATGTATATATTTTTTATGTTATGTTTTCTATTTCTGTGTTGTCTATTTATTATAAATATTCAACTTCTATGACTGTATACAAATTTCAGTTTAAGGATTATCTGCCTATTCCATGTTCGGTTGTTTGAAAAATAGTTTATAGGTATGTCTGAAAGGTATGTATATATATATATATTAGTTATGTATATATTGTATACGTCCGTCTGTAAATATTAAGTTCTATTTATATTTGTTTTTTTCTGTATAAATTCATTAACTATACTTTTTTACTGAGTGCCTTAGTAGGGGGACGCATTCGATCCCAACCACACAATACTTACTTACATTCATAACAATCTAAGGAGCTTGGTTTTGTTTTGTGCATGTGCTTGCTATTACATAGAAGTTAACAGGGGAATACCTACAAAACAAAACAAGTCTTTGAAATCTTGAGTCATTCGGCGGGTCCAACAAATGAAATGAAAGTAATGACGAAGTTAAAAACATATGGAAAATATTAGAAACAGAATTTCCACGAACTGTCTACACAGTAAATCAATTGTTTCCCCAGAGACTAGAATAAAATACAAGTTTTTCGGAAATTTCACAAAAGAGACCAAATGTCTCCACAAAGTTTTCTAAACGAAAACCTTGTCTTCACAAAGTTTTCTAAACGAAAACATTGTCTGCACAAAGTTTTCTACACGGAAACCTTGTCTCCACAAAGTACTCTAAACGAAAACATTGTCTCCATAAAGCTTTCTTTTCGAAAACCTTGTCTCCACAATGTTTTCTATACGAAAACCTTGTCTCCACAGAGTTTTCTATACGAAAACCTTGTCTCCACAAAGTTTTCTATACGAAAACCTTGTCTCCACAAAGTTTTCTATACGAAAACCTTGTCTCCACAAAGTTTTCTATACGAAAACCTTGTCTCCACAAAGTTCTCTATAAGAAAACCTCGTCTCCACAAAGTTTGCTATAAGAAAACCTTGTCTCCACAAAGTTTTGTATATGAAAACCTTTGTCTCCACAAAGTTTTCTCATAGAAAACCTTGTCTCCACAAAGTTTTCTATACGAAAACCTTGTCTCCACAAAGTTTTCTATACGAAAACCTTGTCTCCACAAAGTTTGCTATAAGAAAACCTTGTCTCCACAAAGTTTTCTATAAGATAACCTTGCCTCCACAAAATTTTCTATGCGATAACCTTGTATCCACAAAGTTTTCTATACGAACACATTGTCTTCACAAAGTCTTCTATACGAAGACTTTGTCTCCACAAAGTTTTATCTACGAAAACATTGCCTCCACAAAGTTTTCTATGCGAAAACCTTGTCTCCACAAAGTTTTCTATACGAAAACCTTGTCTCCACAAAGTTTTCTATACGAAAACCTTGTCTCCACAAAGTTTTCTATACGAAAACCTTGTCTCCACAAAGTTTTCTATACGAAAACCTTGCCTCCACAAAGTTTTCTATACGAAAACCTTGTCTCCACAAAGTTTTCTATACGAAAACCTTGTCTCCACAAAGTTTTCTATACGAAAACCATGTCTCCACAAAGTTTTCTATACGAAAACCTTGTCTCCACAAAGTTTTCTATACGAAAACCTTGTCTCCACAAAGTTTTCTATACGAAAACCTTCTCCGCAAAATTTTCTATATGAAAACCTTTTCTCCACAACGTTTTCTATACGAAAACCTTGTCACCACAAAGATTTCTGTACGAAACCATCGTCTCCACAAATTTTTCTCATAGAAAACATTGTCTCCACGAAGTTTTCTAAACGAAAACCTTGCCTCCACAAAGTTTTCTATACGAAAACATTGTCTCCACAAAGTTTTCCATACGAAAACATTGTCTCCACAAAGTTTTCTATACGAAAACATTGTCTCCACAAAGTTTTCTATACGAAAACATTGTCTCCACAAAGTTTTCTATACGAAAACATTGTCTCGACAAAGTTTTCTACACGAAAATATTGTGTCCACAAAGTTTTCCACCTAATGTTATCTTTGAAAAAACATAGTCTGCGTAGAGTTTTCTATAGGAAAACGTTTTCAGCACAGTATTGTCTTCAGAATGACCAAGCTTCTTCGCTTGGGAAAGAGAGAGTTTGAGAACGGTTTCTGTGAAAAGGAAAATCAAATTTTTCTAAAGTACAAAATACCGCGAAATATAGGGGAATACATCAAAACAAATCATGGGACAGGAAGAGAAAATCAGGAAAAGACATTACCTTTTGTTTATTTCCTATGTACATACAACTATACACGAGTGCATTTATTTTCCTAGTTTTATTCTCTAAATCAATACATAACTCGTTTCAACGGACGACATGTTGTGATAATTTCTATAAAATAACAAAAACTATTTAATTTTCCATTTGTTTATGTTTTATTTTGGGAAATTGGTCAATTTTCATAGAAATGTCTTTTAATATGGCAAAACAGATGGTTAATAATATACGAGACGATAATTTCTGTTTTTTTTTTTTGTTTAAATACAACGATGTTTGGTTTTTTTTTCCAAAAAGTTTTGGAGAGATCGAGTCATGAGCCATGCAAATATAGTATATGTATGTATAGAGAGAGAGAGAGGTACAAACGTTTCTTTTAAGTGAGTTAAGTGTGAAATGCAAAAGGAAACAACTCAATTGAAAACTAATATTCAGTTTGTTTTGTTTTTTTTTTTGTTATAATATTATTTATTTGGAACATAGAGTTAGATTTTCATATATGTATAATATATATTTGTATATAAATCAAATTTGAAACATTCAACATATTTGGTTTTTTGGTTTTCATTTTCATTGTTCGATTTCAATTAATGTATGTTTTGTATATCTGTACTTATATACCAGGGAATATACTACCTATATATGTATGCGTGTATGTATGCGGAGATGTATTTATTATGTATATAATATGTATGTTTGAATGTTTTTTGTATTATGTATTTTTGTGTATGTATATGTATGGTGTCGGTGTCTGAGTTGTGGATGAGATAGTGAGGTCTTTTTCTTTCATGAATCATAGATTGATTTTCAAATTAATTTTTATACATTTCACGTTTTATTTGTTTTTTTTTTTGGTTTTTTAAACTAGACGTAATTAAAAAATAACAACAAACGAAACCAAAATAATTTTTTGTTGCATTCCTTCTTTGTTTTTGGAAATTTATAATTATAATTTAATATTATATTTTTACATATGTATTTACTATTAATAATAATTTTGTATTTCTCATTGTTTGTTTAGTTGCATTTTTCTGTATGGCCATATATAGTTTGCTGTTGCTTTCCTTCTTCCTTTGTGTTCTTCTTTTTATTTTTATACAGGACAAAAAAACATCTACTTTTTTTGTAAAATTTTCTTTTTCTTTTCTTAAAAAAAGAGGAAATATTATTGTATTTTTTTTTCTCTTTTTCTTTTTGTTGTATATATATATATTCTTTTGTATATATTGTTGTTGTTAGGTATATCAATTTATTGTTTATACTAATATTATGTGAAGTTATTATAATTATTATGTTGTTGTTGTTGCTGTTTTAACTAATTCAATATATTATTTATTGTTTGCACATTTATAATATATTGCATTCTATTTTATTTAAGTTATTGTTTTTTTTTTTTTTAATTTTTTTATTGAATTAAATATTTTTTTTTGTTTTTTAATAATTTTTAATTTTGTATGCTAATAATTAATAATATATATTTTTTTGGTTTTGTTTATAATAATATGCATATAATATAAATAAGTAAGTAATAACTATTATTGTTCTTAATAATCTCTTTTTAATATATATTTTATTCTCTGCTTTCTTAACAAGTTCTTCTATTTGTATTTATAGTTTTTATAAGAAAAGAGGTAAACAAACTCATAAAATTCAATTTAAAAAATATGTTTTTAGAGAATCAAAAAAACTAACATCAAATCAATAGTGTCTTGCATCACCTCAGTACGCTTGGCATACATAATTTGAGGATATAATAAGCGGCCAGCGCTTTTTGTTTCATTAGTTTTCTACTGGAAAAAGATGTCTCCACTAGGTATTGAAAAATATGGTTGCATCAGAATTTCTATTAGATAACTTTTGTCTCAACAAAATGTTAGCTACATAGATTTCCAGAAATCAGTTATATTCTTTTGGTATCATATCAAGATTTGTAGCATAGTTTGAAGTTGTGCCCTTGACAAACTTCGATATAATTAAAAATGCTCGAGGATCCGATTAAGAAATATTACTTATAAATAAAAACCTGCTATAAACTGCCTTTGCTATAATACAGCCTTACATAAAACAAATTCAGTAATAAAACCTTGTTTTTTGTAAGAGTGAAAAGTTTTTCATGAATGCTTCAAAGGAAACCCTTAAATTGTTAAGTGTTTTCGTAAGAATATTGAGTCTCCACAAAGCTTTCTACGAAAAATCTTAGTCTCCACCAAGTTTTATATCATTAAACCTTGTCTACACAAAATTTTCTATGATAAAACCCTGTCTTAACAAAGTTTTCTACGGGAAAAACCTTGTCTCCACAATGTTTTCTATGAGAAAATCTTGTATCCACAAAGTTTTTTAGGATAAAACCTTGTCTCCACAAAGATTTCTATACAAAACCATTGTCTCCACAAAGTTTTCTATATGAAACCATTGTCTCCACAAAGTTTTCTATATGAAACCATTGTCTCCACAGAGTTTTCTATACGAAACCATTGTCTCCACAAAGTTTTCTTCACGAAAACCTTGTCTCCAGAAACTTTTCTGTACGAAAACCTTGTCTTCACAAAGTTTTCTATGAGAAAATCATGTCTCCACAAAGTTTTCTATGAGAAAACCATGTCTCCACATAGTTTTCTATAAGAAAACATTGTCTCCACAAAGTTTTCTATACGAAAACTTGTCTCCTCAAAGTTTTCTATACGAAAACCTTGTCTCCTCAAAGTTTTCTATATGAAAACCTTGTCTCCACAAAGTTTTCTATATGAAAACCTTGTCTCCACAAAGTTTTCTATATGAAAACCTTGTCTCCACAAAGTTTTCTATACGAAAACCTTGTCTCCACAAAGTTTTCTATACGAAAACCTTGTCTCCACAAAGTTTTCTATACGAAAACCTTGTCTCCACAAAGTTTTCTATACGAAAACATTGTCTCCACAAAGTTTTCTATACGAAAACCTTGTCTCCACAAAGTTTTCTATTCGAAAACCTTGTCTCCACAAAGTTTTCTATACGAAAACCTTGTCTCCACAAAGTTTTCTATACGAAAACCTTGTCTCCACAAAGTTTTCTATACGAAAACCTTGTCTCCACAAAGTTTTCTATACGAAAACCTTGTCTCCACAAAGTTTTCTATACGAAAACCTTGTCTCCAAAAGTTTTCTATGTGAAAAACTTGTTTCCACAAAGTATTCTATAGAGAATCACTGTCTCCGCGAAGTTTTCTATGCGAAAATCTTGTCTCCACAAAGTTTTCTTTAGGAAAATTGTGTTCCTGGAAGTTTTTAATGAGAAAATCTTGTCCCCTAGACTTGAGGTATCCAAGAGATATATAAGAGACTTGTGTCTTTGTCTACGTAAAGTTTTCTTTGAGAAAATTGAGTTTCCCTAAATTTTCCAATTAAAGAATTTTCCTTTAATAAATATTTTTATAAGAACATTTTGTCTCAAATGAATTTTTACTTTTTGAATATTATGTTTTCTGTGAGAAAACTTTGTCCCTAGTTTAAAAGTTTTCCGTGTTTCAAATCCTTTCCCTGCCATTCCCCTGCCAAAATTTAAAGAATTTATTTTTGAAACAATTTGAGACTAAACATATGTTTTTATTGGGGCCAATAAGTTATACATACAATAAATAATTCGTAATTTGTCTAAGAATATTTATTTATTAAATTTTAACTAATGAAATTTTTATCAATATTGTTGTTATATCCTCCAATGATATTTGCAGGACACTAAAATGAAAAAAATGTAACAAAAATACATTATTTTTCTAATAAAAAAAACATAAATTGCTAATGAGCAAATTATTTCTGTATACATATATATAGTTTTGCAATTTCAATTATAAATACTTTTTTTATAATTTTTAGTTTGTCCTGTTGTGAAACACAAAAATGGAAGTTAAATAATTAGGCAGGAATTAATTTAAATTAATTTTCAATTATAAATATGTATAATTTTCTTTCATTCCAAATCACTGGTTAAAGTTTAACTTTGTTATATTTGCTTTTAGTTATGCTTTCATTTTTTATTTTGTAAATTTTTTGTTTAATTATCATTTTTGTTTTGGGTTTTTAATTTAATAAAGGAATTATTAATGTTGCTGCTGCTGCTGTAGAGAGAGAATTTTGTTATTTATTTTCTCAATTGTTTTTTTTATATTTTTTTTGTTCGGTTTCATATATAGAGTTAGTTATATTTATAAGTGTATGTGTATGTATATATACGTGTTTAAGTGTATTTTTTATTTGTTTGTTCTCTTTTTGTTTAATCAATTTAAGTTATTGTAAATTTTTGTGATTTTTCAGTGTTTTTGCTAAATAATTTATTTCCGGTATTTTTTTATTTTTATTGTAATTTACATAACAATTTATTGTGGGGACTATTTTTGGATTTATTTTTTGTTTCTTCTGTAAAAGTCTTTTCTATAGTTGTGTTGTTGCGATGCGTTTTTCTTTCTGTCCGAACCTGGATAATGATGTTATAGAAAATATATAGCAACATGGTCAGATATAACATTTTTCGAAACAAATGGGTCTTCCAATTCTCAAGAGGAAAATGCCAAATAGGATTCCTTTAAATAAAAGGAAAAATGAGATAAATAACGAATTAGTCATATTTTCTTTATTTTCCATTTGTTTCAGAACTTTGTTTTATGGCTGACCAAGCTACCGGCTTTCCTGAAGCACTCCAGACCTAAGATTTCTTTCCTTCTCTTTTCTGCAATGCATATTTCCGTGGAAACTTTCTAATTTCGATTTTATTAACATTTTAACAGTAGTAACATTTTTGTTGTTATAAATTATAAACAGACTAAGTTTCGTTTAAAATATAAATGAAAATAAATTAAAAAAAAAACTTATTTATTTGTTATGATGATTTTTTTATTACATTTCAGTTTTCTTCCAACAAATAATAAAAATCATTATTTATATTTGTCAACGTCGTAGATTTTTTGTAAGAGATTTTCATATTTTTTTTATTCAAAGATAAGGGTTTTTTCTTGACTAAAATTTAACAACTTTGAAATCGATTTTCAATATAGAGTTTAATAATAATTTGTTTAATAGAGTTTTGTTTTTGTCATTTGTTAAGTTTATTTATATCATAATAGAGATATTTAAATTAAAAGCTATTCGTATTTGCTTTCTTCTTTTGTTTTTTTTTTTATTTTTGTTATTGTAAATTTGGTTTTATTTCTGTACACAAGAGGTAAAAAAACGAAGACCAGCATTTGTGGATTAGTAAAAAGAAGGGCAAAAGGAAGCAAAAATGGTTTTGAGAACAGAAAGTTGTTTCGAGAAGATGCCCTTTTGATTTTGAAGAAGATGTGAATTAGTGTTCTGTGAATCATTTGCAGAACTTTTCGTATTTTCGATTCACTATTACTAATTTTTTACAGAAATTTTGAAAAAAAAAGAATCAATGTCAAGGGTTATCTTAGACAGAAATTGATGTAAAAGAGCTCAGTAAGAGTCCGGATCATAAATACTTTTAAAAACTATCAAGAATGTCATGTCTATAAATTTTCAATGTTATTTGATAAAATCATATGTGTATGTGATTGCAGAGAGTTATAGCAGGTTTACGTTGTAAACGATTTAGAAAACCTAGTTCCATTACAGATTAACCCGGAAAAAATCTCCAACATATCTTTAGAGTCACTAGTAAAATTGTTTCTCTAAAAATAATAACCGACAAAGATTCGAATTCGAAAGGCATTGCATTACCTAGTGTAAGTGTAGGTTACGTTTTGAATAAACTTTAGAAATTACAGATTAAAAATATCTTTGAAATCAATTAAAAGTTGTATATGAAATTATTTGGTAATCCTTTAATAAGGATATATAATACCTTTGGAATGTATTATTAGGGATGGGTAATCATTAAAATTAATAAGAACAAATGATTCGGAAAGGAGTAATACAAACTGAAAACCTTGTCTCCCCAAAGTTTTCTAAAAGAAAACCTTGTCTCCCCAAAGTTTTCTAAAATAAACCCTGTCTCCACAAAGTTTTCTATAAGAAAACCGTGACTTCACAAAGTTTCCAGTAGAAAATCGTGACTCCACAAAGTTTTCTATACGAAAGCCTTGTCTCCACAGAGTATTCTATACGAAAACCATGCCCCCACAAAGTTTTCTATACGAAAACCATGCCTCCACAAAGTTTTCTATACGAAAACCTTGTCTCCACAAAGTTTTCTATACGAAAACCATGTCTCCACAAAGTTTTCTATACGAAAACCATGTCTCCACAAAGTTTTCTATACGAAAACTATGTCTCCACAAAGTTTTCTATACGAAAACCATGTCTCCACAAAGTTTTCTATACGAAAACCATGTCTCCTCAAAGTTTTCTATACGAAAACCTTGTCTCCACAAAGTTTTCTATACAAAAACCTTGTCTCCACAAAGTTTTCTATACGAAAACCTTGTCTCCACAAAGTTTTCTATACGAAAACCTTGTCTCCACAATGTTTTCTATACGAAAACCTTGTCTCCACAAAGTTTTCTATACGAAAACCTTGTCTCCACAAAGTTTTCTATACGAAAACCTTGTCTCCCCAAAGTTTTCTGTACGAAAACCTTGTCTCCACAAAGTTTTCTATACGAAAACCTTGTCTCCACAAAGTTTTCCATACGAAAACCTTGTCTCCACAAAGTTTTCCATACGAAAACCTTGTCTCCACAAAGTTTTCTATACGAAAATCTTGTCTCCACAAAGTTTTCTATACGAAAATCTTGTCTCCACAAAGTTTTCTATACGAAAATATTGTCTCCACAAATTTTTTATATGAAAACCTTGTCTCCACAAAGTTTTCTATACGAAAACCTTATCTCCACAAAGTTTTCTATACGAAAACCTTGTCTCCACAAACTTTTCTATATGAAAACCTTGTCTCCACATGCTTTTATATAGCAAAATCTTGTCTCCACAAAGATTTCTATAAGAAAACCTTGTCTCTACAAAGTTTTGTTAAAATTCCAAAAATTTTCAGCAACTGTTTGTTTCATAAAATCCACTAAATGTCTCTAATTAATTTTAACAATTACCCATCCCTGGTCTCGTAATTTATATACGATTTGTTTATTTTTATTTATGTATATGATATTGATTGTATTTTTATATAATATATTTTTATGTATATGGAATGGCCTTTTTTCTTTGTCTTTTGGAAAATTTAACTATTTTTTTATTTTAGGGAGTTCTTTGGTTTTTTTGTTGTGTATTGTTGTTGTTATTTTTTTTCTATATGTATACGGGGATGTGTGAAATGTTATGTGAGGTTTATAGGACTTTTAACTTTTGTTGCAAGTTAACATAATTAATATTATTATTATTATTTATATGTATATATATTTCATTTATAAATAAAATCATAAATTTTAACTACAGTAGACAGTGATATTGATGATTTTGTTGTTCGTTTTTCCTTATATGGTTAGTTGTTGTTGTTGTTTTTGTATTTCTTTTATTGATGGCGGCTGAGGCTTTTTTTGATGCAAACTTTCTCTTGTTGTTGTTGTAGTACTTATTTGTTGAAGGCGAAAATGTCATTTGATATCCTTGAAGGGAGAGAGGGAGAGAAAAAATAGATTTTTAGCAAATTTTTTTATTCATCCAACCAATCACATGGAAATACCTCTCCACTTACAAATAGTCACCAACCTTTTTGTTGTTGTTTGTTTTTGGTATTGTTATGAGATCTTCATAATAAAAATGCTTACTTTTTGTTGTTTTGGTAGTTCATTTTTTTCTGTTTCTTTTTTTGTAGACATTATGCTGGCTGGCATATTTTGGTTTGCAATTTCTCTTTTTGGGATTTTTATTTCGTTATGTTGCTATAGTTGTTGTTGCATTTTTGGGATGATGATAAATGACTTGACTGACTGACTAACTGATTTCAGCTGCTGGTTATGAGTGATGATGGATTAGTACGTATCCCATTATGTCTTTGCAATTTACTTCATATTCTTGAGAATCTCATCTGTTTCCTCAGGATCTTTGAGGGTATGCCATTGGGCTATGGGTCGTCGTGGTGAAGCCAACATGTCGGACCAATGTCTTAGCTCGGTGCCGGTTGCCATGCATCCCAATATACAGCGTCCAATGGGCTCAGAAGTACCGATACGATCGTAATCCACAACAGTAATAACCAGACAGATTTTCTTATGGAGCAATGGCGCACATGACGATGGTGGTGGTGGAGATGGAGATAAATTGGAGATGTGGTGTGAGATTCATTGGAAAAATGCACACGCACACACACAACGATAGGAAGATAAAAGAGAATAAAAAACAAAATGTTAATTTTTTTCCATAAAAATGATATGGTAGCATTTTTTGTATTTGTATTAGTTATTTAGTTGTAGAAGTTATGTTTTTTTAAGAGGTTTCATTTTGGAATTCTCTGTGTTGTCGGAGTCGAAAGAAGAAGAAGATATATTTTTGGTTTGATACTCTGTCAAGAGTGTTTGTTTGTTGACCTGGTAGGTTGTATTATCTCGCAATTTTATTTCTTTTTTGTTTTGGGAATTTCAAGTAGAAAGAATATTTAGTCGCAGTTGTGTAAAGTTAGTGGAGGATTTTGTAGAAGTTACATTTAAAGGTTTCAAACTAATTTTAGTTAATATGCATTTGATTATTTAACAATTTGTATCGTTGGTGTTATACATACTCGGGATCTGGTGCCAAAGTTTTGTTTTATGTTCAAAAAAAAAAAAACACTTAATAGTTGATTATTTTTTAAAATATACATATATTGGTTTTAATATACACATATATTATATACAAGAACACAGAGGTATGATAAGAAAATAAAAATTGCGAAAAGTTGGATAGGATGTCACAGAAATTACAAATATTGCGGGCAATAAGGGTATTCTTAATTAATTATTAAATAGATGGATGGTCTATCAAGAAGTCTTCAAGAGATATAATGGAAGTCAGAAATTTTCATTTGTTTTGAAGATTTTTGAGAGTTGCTTATGGACGGATGACCTGTCAACAAATCGCCTATAGTTGTAGTAACTTTCAAGGTATTTTTACAGGTTCAATAGGTTCAACCTGCATAACGATGGCCTCAGGGAAAATTTGTACACTTTTTCTTTACATTTTTATTGGAAAATTCATTTTTTCTCTTGGACTTCGAGGATATATTCTAAGGGCATTTCTAGCTAATTCGGTGTAATGAGGTCCACTAAAAACGAAAAATTGTTTAATTGATTTCGTTTAAAAATTTTCGTTTGGAGCGTTTTTTGAGTAAAATACTATGTGTTGGATACATACAATTCGAGGGGTGATTTTTCTGCGAAAGAAAAGCCCATTGAGGAGTTTTTATATTTATATATATATATACCCCTTATTCCATACAAAATATTCTATACTCCATACAAAATGTTATATATATATATATATATATATATATATATATATATATATATATATATATATATATATATATATATATATATATATATATATATATATATATATATATATATATATATATATGTATATATACAGTTGCAGATAAATATAAAAAGATTAACTACATACATGTACGGCCTTCTGAAGAAAATATGTCACTACGGCAGACATCAAACGCTTTAAGGGAGCTACTTTTTATATAAAATGTCTTTAATATAAAAAATAAAATTTCAGACATCATCTTCTGATTGAAACCTCACTAGAGTTCCTTCAAATATAGAAAACCTATTTATAGTTTCGCGAAAAATAGGAAACTTCTATTATGACTTTGGATTAAAAAGCTTTTAAGAAGCCTGCATTTTATAGAAGAAAGACTTTAATTGAGGTCTTCTATTGATCCAGATGAATCCTAAAAAAAGATGACGTTATAAGGGGTATCCGATCTTCTATACGTGGTACACAAATGGAATTTTTGGAAATACAGGGTGAGATGAATAAACTGCAACCAACTTCAGACTGCTGTCATTTCTAAGCCACTCGTCCGACAGCTGTTAAAATGATTCCAGTGACAGCTCATTATGTTGTTTACAGGCGTACAAAAGCAATTTGGTGAGACTTTTCCAGAAAAAAGTAATTCGTGATGGAATTCATTCGGAAAATATTACAAAATGAGCTCGGGGTAAAGCCATTGAAATTTCAAAAAGTGCAAAAACAAAACCAGAAGGGAAATAGACTCAAAAGAGCTAAAGAGTTGCTTCGCTTTGCCGAAAGTGGTGAACTGCCGAATTTGGTTTTCTACGATGAGAAAACATTCGTTGTCCAGCAGTTTGTAAATAAACAAAATTATCGTGTTTACTTGCCAAAGAGGTCAGCTGAAAATGTGCACCTTCGGTTGGCCACCAGAACTCAAGCGCCAGCCATGGTGATGGTGTGGGCCGCCATAACAGAAAATGATCGCTCTTCGCTCGTATTAATCGACAGTGGCATCAGAATAAATGTCGAATATTATCGCGAAAATATTTTGGAGGGTGTATTAAAGCCTTCGGCACGCAACATTTTGCCGTAGACCTTGGACATTCCAACAGGACTCACAACGCGCCACCTGAAAGTGGTTAAAAAATGAGGTTCATCGCTTAATTTCCAGCGCACAGTAGCCACCAAAATTTCCGGATACCAATCTGTTAGACTATTGTGTCTGGAGTATTTTGGAAAGCAAGGTTGGCACTAAAAAATGGTATTTAAGGAATACTACAGGCTAAGACAGAAAATTGCCATTGCAGGTCCACGTCTTCGTATAGCCTCCATATAACGGTACCTCCCGATATTCGGTATTTTGATGATTGTAGCCTCATGTTTCAATGGAATTGTCTGAAAATCCACACAAGAAGTTCCTTCTGAGTACTTTACCCTCTGAAAGAGAATTGTCTGCATAGACCCACGATATAGTATAGTCTCTAATATTCCCTATTTGGATGATTTTAGCTACATTTTTACCGGAATTGTCTTAAATTTTGTACTTAAAGCTCGTAGTGGGTAATGCAGCCTATGACATAAAGTTGTAAATGCAGCACCACGTCTTCTTATAACCCACATATAACGGTCTTCCTTTGGGCGGTATTTTTTGGAAATTTTTCAAGTTCCTTAAAAAGTGGGAAGGGTATTAAAAGTTCGGGCCGAAATTATATGCTTTTTTACTTGTTTTCTACTTTTATGGCCTGTTTCGGTATAGAGATACGAAAGTGAATTCAAAATAAAGACACAATCCCAAATTAGTTTTTTATATTAAAGTTACGTTAAATTCAAAATTTGAAAAACGCATTTTGAATGGCGTTTCGCCTTTAGCAGCGAAAATAAAACTATTTATTTTGGCCGGTATGTCACTGTAAAAATAATAGGGTAGTAGGACGATTTGTAAGTAGTTATTTGATAATTGAAGTTTTCGCTGATATGAAAATATGAATTTCTGGGTATGTCGCTGAACAGGTCCTTCAAGGCATCTCTCATAGATAGAAGCAGGGGTTTTATTATAAAATCTTCTAAATATAATTTAAGAGATCATTCTGTGGTTTTCTATTAATAGGTGTTCTGAAATTTTCTCCAAATAAATTGTATGTTTACAAAAAAGCCTTAAATGATGTATTACATATTTTTGAAGATGTGGACGCCTGTCCTTAAAAATTATTTTCAAAATATGCTTCCTTTGGGGAATCTCTCTTAATTTCTTTTTTTAATTTGTGCCAGTGAAAATTTCTTAAAAAAATAACTTTAAAAAATATTTAGTTTTAAATTTAAAATCAACATTTGTAATTTCTTGTGACCCCATTCTTACCATATTTTATAAAAAAAGGTATGTAGCTTATAAATACAATGTAAACGAAATAAAAAGCAATGTTTTGGAAATTAAAATAGATAACAACAATAATATCGGTAAAGCTAAATATTGACTACAGTTGGGGGGTTTTGTTTATAAAACAGCCAAGTTTTCTTTTTTGGTTTTTTATTTTCATTCGTTTTTGTTTTGTTAATGAGTGTCGGTTGGTTGGTTGGCTGGATGCCCTTAAGCGCAACATACATACAAACATACATTCATATGTATGTAGATTGGTGAGTCGTATACATACACATAACCATACTTTTGAGTGTGAGTGTGTGGTAGTTGATATGTGTAGCTTTAAAGAGTGATTGTTTAGTGACCTTTGCAGGGAAGTGGGAGTGGCAGTGGCTAATACTAAAAACCTTGCAACTAAGGCAGCTAAGTGTAAAAGGGTGAGTGGAGTGGGGGTGAGTTCTTGACATTAAGACAAATTTCAATTGGAGTTGTTTTGCTATGGAATTTAAAACATGCATTTGAGTTGTTGTTTACATGGGGTTGTGTGAGGGGGAGGAGTTTTTTGTTTTTGTTGTCTCATGGCATCTACCAATTTGTTGTGGTTTGTTTTGGCGTTAGATAAAGCGCTAATGTATTTAAGCTAGTGCCTTAGTAGTGGTATGGAGTTATGTAAATGTTTGTGAGCTGTTTCTCACATGTACTTGGATGTGTGTAATGGTGTATTTGAATGGCTTAATTTATGTTTTCTTTTTCTGAGATATTTATTTAAATGAACAATTTTCTTTTTTTTGATTGGAATTTCAAAAGTTTTTTTGCATTGCCAATTCGGGTTGTTGCAAAGAACATTGTTCATTAAATACTGGTAAACGAAAATGTATAATATTCAATCCTAAATTTGTTCGCAGGATTAACCAAGGGGAATTAGACGTTTTCACTCTCCTATAAAGGGTATTAAGCCTACAATTTTTGGATGGGCCGGGGTCAAAGCCTTAAAGACTAATACAAAAGTTTTTCTCTGGATATAACACCAGACCAGAATTGGTAACTTGCATCAAGACTGGGGGGCGGGGGACCAGAATTTGACTTTTTTCGACACATTATCTGTGATTCGTTGTTCTTAGCTTAAATGTGATTCATGTTGTTGTTGGTGGTGATGGTGTTCATAGTTCTTGTTGTTGTTTATTAGCTGTTGTTTTGTTGGTAATTAAAGAGTGTTGACGGTGTTTGTTTGCATGTTTATTTTATTGCTTGGTTTGTTTGTTTTGTATCAAATCAGAAGACAGTGTCAAAACAACGAACCCTGGGGGCGTGTTTTTCTTGCTTTTCAAGACGCTGTGGGGAGCCAAGCCCTATATTGGGGCCATGAAAATGCTCCGGTATCGTTGAGAGCTCGTTAAGTTATTTCTGAAGCGTTTTTCTTTTTCTTTTCGCAAAAAACGAAACTCCAAAACTAAGGCAACGAGTGTTTGAGTTGAGATTGAGTTGTTGTTATTGTTGTAGTGTTCTACTAAGTTGCATTCAAAACCCTGCGGAGTTTTGATTTTGAAATATTGTTGTTGTTGTGTATGCTCTGTGTGGCATTTGAGAAAAAAGCAACATAAACTTGTTGTTGTTGTTGTTCTTTGTAATTGTTATTTCTACATAAAGTGTAGTGTTGCTACTACAAAACAAAAAAGTTACTAATATGCAATTAATTTTGCTGCGTTGTTGTATTTTAGTTTATAGAGAGGTCAATTTTTGTTGTTTTTTTTTCTGGGGGGTAGGGATAAGGTTCTAAAAATTTTATTTGGGATTTTTTTTTGATTTTTGAAATTTTGTCTTTACTGCTGTTTTGTTTTTTTGTTTACTTTGGTAATATTTTTTTTGCAAATAATATCAAACCGAAACACACAAATAATTTTTGTAACGCCATAATTAAACACAAAAAAATTGTAAAGCACATCAATTCAATACTACAATTTATAATTAACAGATATAGGTCTTGTATTTAATTTTTTTTGAAAGCTCAACACAAATTAAACAAAAATCAAAAAGTTGTTGATAATTTTTTGACACATTTAAATTTTAAAATATTACAGAGGCATTAGACAGTGTTTTAGGGGAAATATGAGAACTTGTTCAATAGTTGGGAGATAAAAAATATTATTTTATACCCGATTTTGGTAACAATATTAAGAAATATATGTTCGTTTCATATTATTATTAATTAGAGATTAAAAACATAATAAAATTTAAGTGGCGTTTAGATTTTTCACATTATAGGAACATGTTTTTTCCGCCATACAAATCATTAATCTTGATATTTTTAAGACAGCATTAATAGTTCCTACATTGAGTTACAAACTTGATTTGAACTTTTGGATCCCTGGCCAGCTTAGAAGCAGGGATTTCCAACAAAATGTGTAGCAATCCATTATTAAATATGGAACGTTAAACAAATCAACGATGCATTGACATTTTAAAAAATTCTCCACAAAAATGTTGTGGAGATTGTAGGTCGTCATGAAGCAACTTGTTGGACCGTAATACAGAAATTTGGTTAAATATTCGAATTGTTAAGACAAGATAATGATGTGAAAAAGTGAAATCTATGTACGTCGACCAGGAACAACTGGGAATACTGCTGCTGTAGCACAAAGTGTGAACGAAAGTCCAAGTTCACTGCTCGTCGTTATTTGCCTAAGAGCTTGTTTCTTAAGGCTAACAAAGTTTATCAAATATGTCAGGTCTTTGCTGATTGGGTCCTTAAAATGGTTGGGTCTCGTAACTCATCGAAATAATAATTTTAGACCTAAAGTATATATTCTTGATCAGCGTAAAATTCTAAGAGTCAAAACGAATTAAGATAGGAAGCTAAAATTTTGTACAAGTCTGTATTTTGCCTGCAAGAATATCAAGTTCGAAGGTCCACGATATCGTACCCATACACGGGACTCCCGATATTCGGTATTTTGATATTTTAAGCCAAATTTTTCAATGGAATTGTCTGAAATTCATCACAAGGAGTTCTTTCTTTTTACCCCCTGGAGGAGAATTGTCTATATAGGTCCGCGATATCGTATATATCCCATATATCCACGAAATCGTATATCGGGAGGTATATTTGGTATTTTGATGATTGTAGTCAAATTTTTCAATAGAATTGTCTGAAATCCACACAAGGAGTTTCTTCTGAGTACTTTACCCCGTGAAAGAGAATTGTCTATATAGGTCCACGATATTCGATATTTTGATGATTTAGTCAAATTTTTTAATGGAGATTTCTCAAAATCCACACCAGGAGTTCTTTACTAAAGTTTAAAGCTCATATTAAGTTCTACAACCTAGGATGGAAAATTGGTATTGGTAAAATGGTATTTTGATGATGTTAGCAACATTATTCACCGGGATTGTTTAAAGTTTGATGATATTAACGGAATTGTTTCAACTTTCGCATTTGAAGCTCAGAATCGGTACTACAGTCTATGACAAAATTTCACTTGTGCAGGTCCACGTCTTCGTATAGCCCCCATATAAATGCTTTCATTTAAGTGGTATTTTTCGATGGATTTGTTTTTGAAATTTTTCAAGATCCTCTAAAACGGTGGAGGGTATTAAAAGTTTGGCCCGGCCGAACTTAGCTTTTTTATTTTTTATCACATTTTGCTAAATTAAAGTCCAGAAAGAGAATGAATCGTTTTTTTATTTAATTGTTTTTTATTCGAATACAATTCTGTGTCAACTTAGTCATGGCCATATGTAAGTTTCTTCGTCCTAGAAAATGACGATATTTCTTCCAATATTTGATACAAAACTTTCGTACATAAAATCAACGTTTGATATGGCCTCTCAAACCTGCAATTCCTACTGTTGGTAATTTTGATTTCAGTATTTTAAATCTCTTTCTGCTACATATATGAGACTTAAGATACAAACTTTTTAAACGACCTATGGTCAAACAAAAGACTTAGAACGCAAACTTAAAAAAAAAAAAGGAAATTTCTACTTCCTCTCTCTTTCATATTTTGAGTGTTACATTTTAATATACAAACTAGTTGCTCTTTCAGCTAAATATTTTTAAAATAGGTTCACTATTCACCTAAGAAGAAGCACCACCCGATATTAGGTATTTCGAGGTAATAGGCTCCAACATCCTTTAAATTAATTAAAAATTAACATTAATTGACATTATGGAGTTTCGTTGGTGGAATTTCGGACTTCGTAAAATGTATAATATTTAAGATTTACTCGTTGTAAAGAGTAAAACATAATATACCGGATTTTCAATTTTTTAAGAGAGAAATTAAATTTTTAAAATTAAAGATTTTCATTGCAAACGATCCATGAGTTTTTACGATAATATATATTTGAACTTCTTCATGGGACAATTTGTCCTTTAAATTTTAAATTTCAAAAAAAAAAAATTTAAACTCCATTAAACACTGTCACATGCCTTTGAACAATTTCAAAACAAATTAAAAAAATAATATTACAAAAATTACACAAAATTTTATAAACAAATAAATAATAAACCATTGATTTATAATTGATAATTTTTGTTTTCTGTTTTTTGGTAAAGCACAACATTTAAACATCAAAACATCAATTTTACTAATTATTAATTCTGTTGTGTCTGAAGGATTGATTTTTGTAAAGGGGGTTTCTGTTGTTGTTGTTGGTATTTTTTGTTGTTCACACAAGGAAGAGGTTTTTGTTATCTAATTAAGTTTGTTCCTGTACAAAATGGAAACGTAATTCGATTCCATGTCTGGTGTTTTTGATTTGCTGACTGGAGGAAAATTGGGACCAAATATGAACACTGTGTGTGTTTGGTAGTTGTTTTGAGGGGGGTCGGGATAATAGAAACATTGGAACATTTCAATCCACAAAATAATCAAGGTAAATAACATTCCATTGAATATTAAAGACAGAAGTAGAATTAGAGGGAGACAGACAGAAAGAGAGAGGCAGATAGAGATCGTGGTGACAATAGTGGTGAGTAGAGACAGAGCTGTATATGTAGTTAAACACAGGCCTATTGTGGGCTCAAGGGGAGGGGGTGGTATTCAGTCTTTATATATTTTCTTTCTTTTCTTGTTTCATTCGGTTTGTTTTCTTTTCTTTTTTGACAGTTAGGTGGGGGGTTAGGTGGTGGTGGGTTTATTTTTGATTGATTGGTTTTTTGTTGTTGTTGTTATTATAGGATAGTATAATACATTCTCGCATACTTGTATTTGTTCAAATGGTACTTCAAATGAGAACGACTCATTATAATAGGGGTTGAGGGTGCATTTTTTGATACTTGTCTTCTTCTTTTTCAAACGTTTTCCATTTTGCATAATGGCAATTTTCACATATGGATCTATAAAAGAAAAACAGAAATAAATAAAGAAAGAAAGAGAAAATAATAAAATATTCCATATTTGTTTTTGTTTTGCTTGCAAATTTTTTGCTTTGATTTGTAATTTGTTATTATTTTTGGTTAAGTTTGGCCAAAGAACACATAATTGTTTTTGTTTTAAATCATCGGTATACATTTAAGGCAATAATCGATTACTATTATTTTATGGATTATATTCTTTGATAAATAAATTTTAAAATATTTCTTAGTTTTTTTTCGCAAAAATTTTAACCAACACAAAATTCGTATAGTATGTAATTGGAAACACAAATCGTTATATATTTGGATATATAGAGTTAATAGATAATAAACAAATTAATCAAAAGAATAAACAAAGAAAGTAGAACATCAATAGGAAACTCAAAACAACTTCGAAGTTAACACAAAATCTCCAATTTTTTGTAGAGTTACTTTTTTAATTTTGGAAAACCACAAAACATAAAATTTACCAAAAACGCAAGGTATTTCTTTAAATTATTTTCTCTCAAATTGTTTGTTTGTAAAAGCCTAGAAGATCTTATTTGGTTATTCTCATTGCTTGAGAAGGGATATTTTTTGAGGCAACTTTTTTTCCATTTGGTTTTGCAAAAGCTGAACATAATCAAGGCAAAATACTGAAATACAAGGCAAATACTACATACACACAGAGGCTACTAAAAACTAATTCATATAGATATGGGGAAGGGAAGTTGGTAGAAGGCAACATAATGAAAATGTATTAAAGCGTAAATAAGCTTGGGAAATTAAAAACTTTTTTAAAGGTTTTTAAATTCCATTGATATATCTTTTTTATATTCGATTTCAAAAATCTTGTCACTACAAGTTGCCATCAAAAAATATCAATCGATTACGATTATTTGAATGATAAGAAAAATTTATGCTTGATAATTAATTATATAAATATACAGACAAGGAAAAAATTCATAGGCTTTAAAAAAGTTGGAAAAAGTCATGTAAATAAAATGAAAGCTTTTTTTGGTTTCTTTTTAATCATTTTTTTTTTTTTTTTGATATTGTAATGATTCTTTGGTAATCATCATTAGCATTAGAAAGCTTAAAATTAGTTTGGTTTTTTTGGTTTATAGAAAAATTGAGCAAAAATTGATTTTAATTTGATAAAAAAATTCACTAAATGATTGAGGAAAATTTGAAAGAAAAATAAATAATGATAAATATATGTAATTGTTACTATCAAAGGTAGACACTGTGATGGATATAGAACGAAATTTTTTAATTATTTTTTAATATATATATTTTTTAAAAAAATATTTTTAGTACAAAACATATTGAATTTTTTAGGCAAAATTTCCTTAGGATACAAATGTTGTCTCCATGAAATATTGTTATGCCGGAGAGCATATAGAGAACATATATTTTTGCTCAGCATGCAATTCTATATTGATTTAGTTACGTGAGATTGTCAGTTTTCTTGTCCTTGAAAATTACGACATCACTCACAATATTTTAGAGTCAAATTTATCCCATTCTAAATAAAATCCACATTTAGGTAGGCCCCCATAAAACGCTACCTTCCTCTTTGGCTATTTTGGCTTTCAGTAGTCTTCTGCCAATTTTTCATTAATGTACGTGGTAGTTATACCTCTTCTTTTTCGGATTTGTTCGAAGGATTCAGCAGTAATTTTCAACCGAGTTGGATGTTATAAAAAAAAAAAAAAATAAAAAATATTACCCCCTTCTAATTTTGCCTCGTTTCCTTAGAAAGAAGTTAGTTTGACATGCCATACGGGGATTGGAGCAAGACCATCGAGGGCCCGCTAAATAGGGACTCATTGCAGGAACACCATATAGAAGAGCTAGGGGCACAGAACATACGTCGTATACTGGTCTTACATGTTCTGGCATATGTGTACCTCGTTTGATGGCATGCGATTAAATCCAAGGCAGTCATGTCTAAATTAACCAGACTACAGACAGCCGCATTCTTACTGAAAACCGGAGCTCTCAAGAGAACTTCCAATGGTTAGGTAGACCACCCTCCTAAATACACTTCTCTCTATAAATACTTTCTTCTCCTTCTATATTTCTTCAATCCCCATTTTTTTTATTTCTTCCTAGTGAAGTAGTTGCCGAATTCATGTAGTTGCGGATCCTTTTACCATACCGAACCAACAGCAAAACACTTCTCACAATTGGCCGTGTGTGGGAGAATATCTCAGACAAAAACAAGGGAACTGCCTTGGTAAAGACTACCATCGTTTTCCACTAATAAATAACCATAATGGGCTTACGACGGTATCCCGAACAAACAGGCCAAAACTGTTCTAGTTTCAGATCGTTAAATTCTTACCGAGAGAAAATTTATTTTCAGGATAGTGTTTGTTGTTATATTTTTTCTGGAGTGACTTTGTTTTTATAGATTTTTGTCAAATTTCTAACACATGTTTTTCTACTAGATACCTTGAGGTTAATTTATCACCTCGCTGGATTGCATACTCTTTACCATTTTTTAGGTTAAACAAAATTTATTTCCCTTAAAATTATAAGTTTACAGACACATTTGTATCTCCCAAAAGATATTTCAAAGGCTTTGCCAATAGGGATTGTAATTTTAACATTCTTTGTTTTAATTTGGATTTTTGGGACTAATTTACATAAAAAATAATTAGTTTAAACCTTTTTATTTCCGGATAATATTAAAAATATTTTTTATGAATTTTTTAATTTTTAATAAATGAATAAAATTTTTTAATTTTTAATCCATCACAGTGTCTAATTTTGTGCGTTATAGTTTTATAAATATATTTCAAAAAATTTTAAAATATTATTATGTTTTTAATATTGAGGAACAATATAATAACCATTTCATTATGTATGGCTATTATATGGCTCTCAAACACACAGAATACTACAAAACATACATACATACACACACAGACACAAACAAATGCAAAATAAGAGAAACAAAAAAACTGAAAGCCACAAAACATCAATGTGCCATTAACATAAATTGGCATCCAAATTGTATTACCAGACAATCCACCGACGTCCATTTTCTTGAGATTTTTAGCCTCCAAGATTACGACAGTTAACTTGCCAGCCGTCGGTACGTAACGCAGCGAGAAGCAGATGTCACCAAGCTTTTCCTATAGTTTGTGAAAAGAAAAAAAAGTAACGAGGAAAAGAGAAGAAAATATTTAAAATAGAATTAGTATTTTTTATAAATTTCAATATTTATGCCATTGTGTTAACATAAAACAATACAAAAACCAAAACATAGACATATACAAAGTTATTGTATTTTGTTTTTTACTACACAAGACCTTTTCTCTTCTTATGTTGTTGTTTGTTTTATTTTTAATTTTTTACTTCGTGATTGCCATTTAAACATTAATCGTTACTTGTTGTATTTATTTTTTTTGGTATTTTGCGTAAAATAGTGAATACATGTCTAGGGTGATACAGTCGAGAGATCAATAGTTTGGGTAGAATTGAAAGCAGGATTGTATTGTTACTAAATCTGTTTGAAAATAGTTGAAATAAAACATCATTCAGATCAATGTGTTTAGGCATTTTATTATTCATATTTCATAATTATTGTACTTTATAAAAAAATAAAAGACTTTAAAAAAATTAGGAGAAGTACATTGGTATTTTAAATAGATTGTTTTAATGGTTATTTCAGGTTTTTCTTATTAATATGACCGTCTTTAACATATCTCGTAATACATAAATACTCATATCTCAAGTGAGAGAGAGAGAGAGTAAATAAACTATAGCAGTAAAACAAAAGACTTAGGACACGAACTTGAAGTTCTCATTTCACTTCGGTTTAAATAGAAGAGAGGGAATGTTTATTCTAAACAGATTTAGAAACAATTTTAATATCTGGGCTCAGTTTTCGCGTTCAATATCGAAAAAATTCAAACAAAATTCATTTGAATATATATATTTTTGCTTGCTAAATTGTTAATTGTAATCGATTGGAATTTCGATTGAATTTTCTTCGATATGGAATTGGAAAATTTGGTTTCTTATGCGCTAATCAACCATTTTCTAAACGTTAGCTGTTGCGTTTTTATTTGTCCGTTAAAGAAACATCAATAACACTTAGAATATATTAGGTTACGTTTTTTTTTTCTTAAAACTCGCAAAATAAATTAAAACATTATTTTGTTTATGGAACACAAACAACACAATTTACCAATTTATAATGAATAATAAATAATTTTTGCAAAACAATTACATATCACATGGGCTTTTCGTTTTACCTTATTCCACTAAGAATTTATTTCAAATGAATATTTTTTAAAAGATAATTTATTTTTAACAATGGACCTAATGCAATTCTAAAGTTTTTATATTCCTTTTTAATATTTTCTTTTAAAGACGGAAAATGCCTTTGGTAAAACTAGATTTGAGATAAGATGTACAAAAATTAAAGTAACGCACCAATTGAGAACCCTAAGATGTATGGTCAAAGAGTGTATAGTCATTAGATTCCGCAAATGAGCTTCATAGAAATAAGGCTTTTAGATCCCACGTCTCTGATATCCGTAGTTCTCAAGAGTACTCTACAATTTGAATTGGATGTGCTGTTAAACTTCCAGCCACTGGATCTTTCAGCTAAATTCCAAGCAGTAAAGAGTGTGCTGAGGCTAGGGGAAGCTGGAGGTTTGGCGCTCTTCACGTTTTGGTCATGTACGAGTCCTGGACGCTCCAATTAGTCGATTTAAGTACCCTCAGCCGTAAGGCCAAAGAGTGTATAGTCATTAGATTCCACCAAATGAGCATCATAGAAATAACGTTTTTAGATCCCATGCATCTGACATTCGTAGCTCTCAAGGGCACTCCACAATCTGCATTGGAGGTGCTGCTGAACTTAGCTCATTTCCAAACAGCAAGGAGCGCGCTGAGAACAGGGGAAGCTGGAGGATGGCTCTCTTCACGGTTTGGTCATGTACGAATTCTGAACGTACGAATTATTCCAAATGGTTAGAGACCTCTGCAAGAGCATTATAGGACCAATCGATAGTAGAGAAGACCTTAAAGCTATCAAGTTAAGTGCCATTAAATTGTGAGCCACTCCTGACTGCAAGATAGCCCACCTTGAAACACATAGACTTATAAAGCTTTGTTGGGTTCCGGAAAAAAGGCAATTTAGTGGGGAATGAAGTGGCTGATAAATCCCAGTTGATTGATCTACCCATTTATGAGACTCTTAAACCGCTATTAATCGTATAACGCTATTATGTCCGTTGCTTCAAAAAATCTCTTGTCGAATAAGCTGGGTTATTTGCCTATTAAGATCGAGGAGAAGAACAAGCTCCCTTGTATCACCTATTATGTCTGATATACGAATTGTGGTGGGCATACTGACTGGTCACTACATTATTAGATATTTGACCTCAAGATAGGGCAACAGTATTCCTGAGTACAGTAAATTATGAGTAGTTGAAGAAGACGGTGAAACGTTTCATGTTATCCAACAAAAGACATACGCCATTTGGCAGGACGCAGGTAGAACATCTAACGTTATTCTTAGACATAGATCTCATTATCATTAAATACATTTTCCAACGGCATTTCCTGGCTATACAGACCACCCTGCTAAATATACTTCTCTCTATAAATCATTTCTCCTTTTTCGCTATCTGCTACCTCCCCCACAAAGGCTTAACGTTTTGAATATGTCTAATGCGTTCGAATATATTTAAATATATGAACATAGACTACATTCCTCATCAAAACCGACGCCCTTAGAAGGAGCTCGGATACGAGCAATATTGGTTCATTTCCAAAATCATTCCAAATTGTGGAGGGTATTCAAAGTTCGGCCTGGCCGAACTTACTGAATTTTTACTTGTTCAATATTATATCACTTATGACAATGGAATATATTGGTTGCCTCTTTCTGGACCTCCCATATCAAATATCTTTAAATCATAAAGGTGAGGTTTACACCTTCCGGTATCCACACTATTTCTTAAAGTCCTTAATTCTACATAAAGGAAAACTTAAACCCAATTAATCTCATCCCTCCCCTGCAAGAAGTCAAATTTTCAAAAATTTATGCATATCGTATTATACGTTCCAAGAATCGTTGATTATTTTCAAGGACTTCCCGGACAGAAATCGTGAATAATTAAAAAATTAATCCAAAATCATGGATTTGTTAGTAATATTTAAAATAGGATTTAGTGGATTTTGAACTAATATCTCAAGGAACACCTTCTTAAAAAGAATAGGTTCTAATGTTAAAACCAGTAAAGAAAGTCTTAAAGTCGGGCGGGGCCGACTTTATGATACCCTACACCACTTTGCTAATTTAGTAGAGCTTCGCATAACAATTAAAAGTTTTTATGGGAGAATTCAATCATGATTATAATTATAATTTAAAGTTCAAAGGACTAAATATGCCGAAGCATTTGTATCTTTTAAATTCGGAATTGTATTGCCCGTTTGGTGCACAATTAATTTGAAATCGGATAAAGATATATATGGGAGCTATATCCAAATCTGAACCGATCTCGATAAAATTTTGCAAAGATATTTCTGAGCTGTATTTGATATATTTCCCTGAATATCTTTGTTATGGAGTGCATATTACGGTTGTGGGTAACAAATATAACAAATCGGATGAATAATATATATGGAAGCTATAGCTATATCTGATCCGATCTTCACCAAATTTGACATACTAGCTTCTAGACTCAGTTCGGTCGTAAGTGCCAAATTCCATCCCATTTGGACCAATATTAGACGTTTGGTGCACAATAAAAGGTAAATCGGACGAAGTTATGTATGGGAGCTATATCCAAATCTGAACCGATCTCGATAACATTTAGCAAATGTATTTCTGAGCTGTATTTGATATATTTCCCCAAATATTGTTGTTGCATAGTGCATATTACGGCGGCGGTGGACAAAAATAACAAATCGGATGAACAATATATATGGGAGCTATAGCTATATCTGAACCGATTTCGATCAAATTTGGCGTACATATTTTCAGGCCTAATTTGGGTGTATATGCAAAATTCCATAAGATTCGGGCTGATATTACACGTTTGGTGCACAATAAAAGGCAAATCGGACGAAGATATATATGGGAGCTATATCTAAATTTTGACCGATTATCTCCTATTTCAATAGGGTTCGTCCTTGGGCCAAACCAAAGATCTTTGCAAAATTTCATCTGGATCGGACAATAAATGCGACCTGTACTTTGTTTACAAAAATACATGGACAGACGGACGGACGGACATGCATAAATCGACTCAGAATGTGATTCTATGCAGATCATCAAAAGGAACTATGGGTCTATCTCGTTTCCTTTTACCTGTTACAAACAAATGCACAAAGACATAATACCCTGACCGCCTTGTGGTGTAGGGTATAAAAATGCAATATTAAACAGCATGAATCCATGATTGAAAAGAGCCCTTGGAATTGACTGGGATATATAATAACCCAGCAAACATAGTCATTACAAAACTGCTTACCAATTCATTTTTAACTAAGACATATCGCATAAAATAAGTTTGGCCACTAAACTTCAATCTTATAAGTTCTTATTTATCACTAAACTGCGTTTAAAGTAGAAGGGAAACAACCACTTAGTTTTCAGATTTGTAAGGAGTATTTTTTTGGGAACCCTTAAAATAATTTTTGTTTTTTTGGGCAGAGTATAGACTCGGCTATTTTTATTTATCCAAATTTCAGAATTTGACTAATCTTTACACTTTGACCTGCAATATTACTATATAGTGGTATAAGGTATAACGTGGTCAATATTGCCGATCCTAGATTATTTTTTTTATTGTTTTGCATTAACTTTATTTATTATTCATTATCACTGGTCATACAAACATCGATCAGCAAATTACAAATACTAGAAAAGAAAACACAAGTAACACAAAATATAGAAAACATGAAGTACACAAATAAAACAAAACAAAAAAATAAACATTTAAAAATCACATCAATACAATTCAGACGTTAAATACGACGAGAAGACTGAGAGCTTCGATGACATGAAAATTGTATTTGCGTTTTTTTTTTTTTCAAGTAGAGAATAGAAAATGAAACGCAACACAGAAGGCAACTAAGGAAATAAAATAAAAAAATCATAAAACATAAACTA